TATATTCACGACTCTAAACAGAAACTTGTTGATATAACATAAATATAATTGTTTAAAAGACGAAAATCTCTACCGTGTTAGTTTATTTTAAACAATTTAGGACATTGTTCCGTTGATATATCCAGAAACATTTTTATTCGAGGCGTTTGCAGTGCGCCTCGAGAGCAGCAAAGGCATAAATTTTATGAGTCCCTGTTAGTCAAGTTAGATGATTATAAATGTCAGAGACGACTATTTATTATAGATAATCACTTCATTTACAGCTGCATTAAATCATAATTCATTGTGTTACTTGTCAAATGATTTACGACTAAGATACTGTATACAACAGACGTAAAAATTATATAGAATTGCTGTGTATGGTATTTAGAAAAGACAGTCAATTTTTACTCTGCTTCATAGAATATGACAGATTATGATCATGGATTTTTTCGTTTGGAAAGTTGTGAAACCATATTAAATAGTTTAAGAATGAAACTTTTAAAAGTTATATCAAGACAACCACGACTAATTCTCATGAATTCAAGATTCTTATCTTTTGACTCGCATTATCAAGTAATACTAAATGAATAGGTTATAGAAAAAATTTTAGTGAACTTCCGTAGCTCGAATCGAAGAAAATTAATATCATCGACGCTTTTCTTTCTAATATCGTTCGTGAAAGTCTTCCCGATTTTCAGTATAGATTCCTGAAAGATTTTAATATCTAGACAAGAAAATATGCCTAAAAACTAAAACGTCGATTTAGACTATACCTCTCGTATAAAGACTTTTAAAGCTTTAAATTGAGAAAGTATTCGAGCTCAGACCCGAAGTAACAGATGCAATAGTCATGATTTGACTCAGAAGATGGATAGAAACTTTTTCTTATAAAAAGAAATTCTAAATGAAAAAGTGCTATAAACACTCGATTTCAACCACCTCTAAATTATTCTTCAGACAAGAAATCGTTGTCTTTTCATAATCCAAAACGATCTAAATTAGCAATTTCAAGCAGTAAAATTATATACCTTCACAAAGTACTTGAGTTTTTTTTTATAAATTGTCAAAGCTTTGAACGGACTTTCTTGATATTGTAAGTTTTTGCAATATTATATAAGCTACCTACAGAATATTGCAATAAGATTGATTTGCAGGATGTCTTACTGAAGACAGTAAAGCTGGCAAATTTTCCTATGACGCATTCAACGTCGTTACTGATTACTTCTTGCCAGATTGTGTAACTGGATCACTTGTTGAATATGTTGTGATTCTGAGGCTTCATGCAACCAGTTGTCCTCAAAATTTTACTGAGGAAAGATTTCTAGATTCCTTGAGAATTTAGGCATTTGCCTCGACTTACTTGGTGCGCATTTGTATTTCAATTGAAAAAAAAAGTCACATAAGTCAATAGTAAGAAAAAATATTTCTTTATATACCTTTATCACTACTTCTGACGAAGGTATTCGACTCTTTTCCAATGTTAGGAAAAAGAAATAAAAAGTCTAAAAATAGCACTTGGAAAAAACCATTCATGTCAATATTGATTTTCCAATTGCAATATCAATCACTTTATAAGAGAAAGGAACGGTGTACTTGCGTCAGAATATTATTTTTATAAGACAACGTGTGACACTTATTTGTACATTTGAGGAAAATTAATTCGTACCTATACAAACTATTGTAACGATAATGGGAAATATTATTAATAATGCTAATCCGATTCGAGACGTTAATGAAAGGTAATGTTTAAATAGTGTTTGTCTTTTTCTTAGTTTCATTTTTATCATGCATTGAGATCCACAAGCACATAGCTCTACAGGTTCCATCATCTTCATTACGTCGAAACATGTATTCACCATTTTTTTTTCAGTTTTTTCAGGATCACTGTTAGATGTTTGAAACGATTTGGATCTCATTTAGGCCGTTGGTTCATCGATTTTCATTTTAAAAATTGGAGCAAAATTGACAGAGATTTGATTGTATTTCGTGTTATATGCATCGTTTTGCTCTTTGTTTATTCTATTATTGACACAATAATGTATTCATCGCACTCAATAGAGAGGTCTAACGTTCTGAAACTTCTTCATGGTTCACGGTATGTTGTTGTTGAAATCCTAGTAATTATTTATGTAAGTGGTTGTGCGGCATTTGGTATGTCAGTTGAGATTTATATCATCATTCCACATGCTATTGTCAATTGTGTATTGGTAGCTCGAAATTGTCATGGTTCGACCGACACATTTTCTGCGGCTGTTTGGGTCGCGAAGACTGTGGTTTTATTTGTGACAGTTGAATTGTGCCATTACAATGTGCGGAAATTTCGACAATACAATGAAAATTTCAACTTATCAGCCCGCGCTATGCTTAGACAAGCACTAATGTTTGGTGTTACCATGTTGTTTTTTAGTTCACCAGGACTAAGAGCATTATACTATGGAAGCAGTAAAACTCTACCGCATTCATGTGATTATGAAGGCAGCCATTGTGATATTATTAATTTGTATGAGCCACTCTTTTCATACGACAATGAAAAATGTACAGCTGATCTAATAGCTTATGTTTCTGGGCGTGAACAGTTACGTGTCTTACGTAATTTTATTCTGTTAAACGGCGTTTCTTACTCTATCTTCAATGCAAACTTTCTTGACATTAAACATAATGCTGGATATTTACCGGTGCGAATTTTAATGATTTGTCTTTTTGCCATCATCGCTTCATCAGTTATGATTTCAACTGTCGATCCTTTCATTTTTATTAATAAATGCCAACGACTATTTAGTATTGTAGAATTTATTCTGTTCAGCATACTATTGGTATTACCACTGTATAATCTGTATAGGTTACGCGGACAAGAACCACCAAACTCTTCATCAACACATGGTCAGCGAACACATCCTCAAACAGAAGATAGATTTCCAGCAATGGACCCACAACCAAAGATATTACCAGAACTATAGATATCTAATAACAAATATCATCAATATATCCACAATCTTTTGCGCATCTATACAAGATTCTTTGCTCATGCTTAAACAAAAGTGTTGACTATTTCTTGAATTGTGCTATTAAGGGGGTCCCCTCAGAAAATCGATTTTTTCCAAACAATATCGAAATTGAGTTTTTACCACAAGAAGATAGAGCGAAGCTTCCTCTTTCAGAATATATATAGATTTTTGGAAAATGATCAGTTTTTCAAAGATTTGTCAAATCAGACTTTAACTTCCCTACCACATTTTCCGAGAAATGTTCGTGGTTTTTTAAAGTTTTTCAGTTTTGGAAAAACTACGTTACTACTTCAATTATCATTGAATAGAACATTTTGATGTTAACCCGCATGTCAGATGGCGTTACTTTTACTGCATCTTTTACGCGCCTTAAAATAGTTTTAGAAAATTTATTGAAAATATGCCATTTTAATATGAGTTTTTTGAATTTGATCGAAAAAAACCACTTCTAAAACTTCTTTAAGGTTTTTCTCAGAACATGATTTCCAGTCAGAAAAACTGGAACTCTTCCCTCATTTTTCGAGCTATTACAAATATTTTTTTTGGTTTTAAAGGTCTTGATTAGAGTAAACTTTTGTCCGAACGGATTTTTGAAAGTTGGTTCCTGAACTGAGAAAACTGGAATTTACTATCGTTGGACTACCATTTTTTATGCTAATTTTAAGACCCTCGCACTAAAATGCTCATAAAAAATGAACAATAAGGAATATAAAAATTCTGTTCGGACAAAAGTTGCGTACTGACATCAGGTTTAATTTGAAATCAGCCCGAGCTCTCTACCTCATCTGACGAGAAAGTTTTGTCGATTTTCCTGAAGACCAAAAATGACCTATGAATCAGCCGGAACTCCGGTCTAGTACGACCAATCGAGCTGAAATTTTTATCGGAAGCGTATCTCTTCAGGATCACTCATCCCTGAACATTTCAGCACAAAAGGACCACTCTAAGTGGAAAATCATTTCTGAGGGGGGGGCCTTAAGACAAGTATTTTTTTCAATAATTCTCGCTTAAAAAAGATATTAATTGAATGTTCAACTTTCCATGTATTCCTTTTTCACCATTTGAGACATCCAGGCAGGGTGTGTGGTGGCTGGGTGTGGGTATTTCCATCATTCACACCCACACCCCAATATGATAAATATTCATGTAATTGAATCATTAAAGTATTTAGCAAGTTTTTTTGCACGAAAATATTAAAAGAATAAGACGTTCATTAAGGAGTACAATCGAAAAAAAAAGTTTAACATTAAATAATCAATTTGAAGAATGTTTTCATATTGTTAAACACCAACTTCATCAGTTAAATAATACAACATTCTGTTTTTGAAAAGGATTTTTTTTTTTACATATTAAAACGTGTTAAATCAATTTATTAACATTGTAAATTATTATTATTATTATTACGTACACGTCAACAAAAAATTGGTTAACTATAAAACAATTATTAATAATTCAGTGTCAATTAATCCTTGTACTTGATGAAGTTAGTACAAATATTTAGCTTATTTTTTATATACATTTTGTACCAGACTAGGCTTCCAAACACACCGAGTTAATTCAAAGTGAATTAACCAATGTAATTGTCGTTGTTACATAGAAACATCAATCAGATTTCTTAATTCACTTTGAATTAAGTCGGTGTGTTTGGGGCCTAGATGTATTTAATTAAAGCTAAATTGTGAAATATGATTGGTGTCGCTTTTAATGCCAATCATATTTCTTAATTCATTTCAACCTTTGTAAATGTACTAAATGTTAATGTATCAATCACGTTGCACCATTTAGTTTTAACTTATCTAGTCTAGTTGGAATCATACATTTTTAAGCACATTCACAAAGGTTAAACTGAATTGCGCAATGTGATTGGCATTATAAGCGACACCAATCACATTTCATAATTTTTCTTTAATTGAATTCGTCTAGTCTGGTGGTATATATATATATATGCCCAAAGAGCTTAATGAACTTAATATATTGTTCAACATTTTAAATCAATTATTGATTATTATTGAGATGGACGATGAACAAAGCAATTTGACAATTAATCTTCAAGATGAATCATTAGCACTTGAAGTACCGACGAAAGGAGGTGAGGATAAATTACATACAAATAAGAATGAAGATTCTAATGGTCTTATGCTTAGTAAAAGTAAGTCATGTGGTTACTAAATTTTCATATAATCTTTTTGTTTTCTATAGCATATGAATTTGACAAATCAACAAATATTCCTACAGAAAATGTTGTTCATTATTCATCACAATGCAAAAAAACGAAAAAAAGTAATATTATTTCTGCAATAAATTAATTTATAAAAATTATTATTAATCTCTGTAGGAAACATCTGAAGAGGAAGATGTTGATCAAACAACTGATGATACATTAACAAAACGGACAATTAAATCTGATGCTGAACAACTTGATAATATTATTCGTGAACAAGTGAACGGAAAAGATATTACTGATAGTCGTGGACAATGTATTCGTGAAACTTATCGATTATTCACAATGGAAAAGAATTGTCCATTAAATGATATTAAAAAAGTTACGACAGATGACAACATCGGAATGATGGGTGGGTGTGGGTGTGGGGTGAGGGTGTGGGTGGGGGTCTAAGTGTGGGGGGTGGGTGTGGGATGTGGGTGTTGATGACCAGAAGACCTGTATTTGACACCCACCCACACCTACACCCACACCCACACCCCACACCCACACCGACACCCACACCCCACACCCACATCCACACTCACACCCCACACCCAAAACCCATACCCACACCCACCCTTTAGGTGAAGTTGCTGTACCTGTTTTACAGTGTTTTATGAAACAATATATTTCGTCAAATGGGAATATTATTGATGTTGATGATGATTATGATTTGAGATATTGTTTTTTTGCATGGAAAAGTACATTAGAAGATGGTACATCTGATTTAGCATTAGATGGTAAAAGTCAATCAGAAGAATATATCGATATAAATCCGTACGATCGTTTTACGTGGGAAGTTTGGATGCCAGGTTTACGTGAAAGTGTTCGGTAAGTATAGTATTTTTTTGTCTTTGAAAATTATATTTATATCTTTTTTTTCTAATGTATGGAATCCATATCAATCACATCATTTAATTAATTTTATTGAACGATGGAAGAAGTGTTTATATGAACCTATACTTGATAATATTCTTAATCAACTTGTTCTTCCAAAACTTATTGATGAAGTTGATGCGTGGAATTCAAAAATCGATTCAACAGCAATATTTGAGGGTGTGGGCATGGGATCTCTTTCATCACACCCACACCCACACGCACACCCACCCACACCCACACCCCACACCCACACGCACACCCGCCCACACCCACACCCACACCCTACTCTTTCTCTCACATTTTTTTTCTTTCTTTTATTCGTTCTGATAGTGTAGATGTTAGTCTTGATGTCGGTTCCAAGTAGCAATACCTTTTTTTATAAAGTAACAAATCATTAACCCTTTACCACCCGAACAAGTCACTTTTTAGTTCTTTTTATAAAGTTTATTATGGACTTACAAAGCATTTAGTCAAGAAGATTTTAGAACATCTGTTGAGCGTTGTTTAGAGAATATGACAAGCTATAAACTTGTAACAGATTAATTGTTTATTTCTACTTCTTGACTAGGATACTTGAGTCTGAACATGATTGCTCGGAATGGGTCATATATGACCCATTGGGCAGTAAAGGGTTAAAAACAAAACCAATAATCGTAGAAAACGACAAAAAGTATAAAATATCACGTGAAAATTACGATATCACTTTGGTCAAATGATATTCCCTTTGTTGGGCAAGTATTTCGAGTTATATCAATGTAATTCAAACTTTCAACAATACAAAGCATTTGCACCTTCAAATGTATGATGATCACGAAACTATAGAATTTCTACTAAGTGACCTTGAATGAATAGTGAGAGCTTGTTGGCAATTCATAAATATTTATTTTGATAAAGACCATTGCAAACTATGATTTATATCATATTACCAACAATCATTTTGATATTAGCAGAAATTTATCTACGGCAACAGAATATTATATTTCTCTTTCTTAAAAGTATATCATTACAAAATCTATTGAAAGAGTCGAAAAAATGAAATGTTCATTGTATTAAGAAAGTATTCAGATCAGATATATAAATGGACAAAATATATATGTCGATTGAAAATAGATCTGTTTTCATCGTCATAATCTTTTCAAGATAGTCATTGAAAAAAAATCTGTACTCAAAAGTAGAATCATTATAGAGAAAAGTACAATTATTTACGACCATTAAGATCATTGAATAAATGCGCAAATACTTTCGTAACGTAATATATTAAAGTAGGATTACATAAAATGTAAAATGCACTCAGGTGTTTTATGTAATTTGATCGAAATAAAATCAACTTTGGATCAAAGTTAAGCATATTCATCTAGTTTTTGTATAAAAGATGCAGACAATAGGAGAATAGTAATCGTGACTTGACGAAAATCGGTGGAAAAGGACAAAAATGATTCAAAACAAGGTGATTTTTCTGCTATTTATTGCATGTTGGTTATGTTCAATGATGGTATTTAGTGTATCAGTTCCAGAGGGACAATTACGATCTCATATTACTGGTGGATATAAAAGTAAGTTCATATTATACCATTCTATTGAGCTAGATATGTATTGTGTTTTGTCAGATATCCAACCTAGAAATAGCAGATCTGATCTCGCTTGCAGCCAATTTATTAGTGATCTTGATGTTCTTGATCACTTTCCATTTTTGATCATGATCAATCCGATGAACAACAACTGGCAAAAGAGCACTGCTGTCATGAATAAAAATAGTACTGTGGTTGTTGAACTTGCTCTTCGCAGTGAAACTGTGGTTCCATTAAGCATTTTTTGCTTGAAAAATTTACAGAGATTAGCCATCACATACACTCCTTTTCCTAATGGTAATTATTCTTTATCGAGTAACAATTACTATTTTAAATATTTTTCAGGTATTGTACCAGATGAGTTGTCAAATTTAAGACAACTTACTAGCCTCCAGATTACTGATGCACCTATCGTGAAAATGACAGAACAATTGGGAACACTAAGCAATCTTAATGCATTGTTTTTATACAACAGTTCACTTACTCATCTACCCAATCTTAGTGGAATTTCTCGACTGATTTTTCTTAGTATTGGTCATAACCGATTATCTCATTTAGATGGACCGAACAGTGTTCAGCATCTTTACCTTGGTGATAATGCTTTCACTGAAATTCCCGCATGGTTTACCCAAGCATCGCTTCGAATTTTAGACATGAACAATAATCATCTGGAAAATATGTTGGCGATCACTTCCCTCGTCAATTTAGAACGATTGTACTTAAGTAATACTAGTCTATCATTTATTCCAACTGCTATTGATAGATTACAAAAACTTGAGTATCTTATTCTGTCTAATAACAAATTGTTTTACCTTCCAACCAATATGCTCAATTTGGTCAATCTGAAAAAATTGGAGCTGCAAAACAATTTATTTTCTCCTGTTGATATTCAAACATTTCAAACAGAATTTGCCAAGTCTCATCCCAATATGATTCTAATAATATAGATCGTACAATATTGCAGTTTTATTTTACTAATATGTACTTGATAATATTTTCTATCTAAACCTGAGATTTGAAACTATTCTTCATATACAATGATTAATAAAATAAGAACTCATATTATTTTATTTGACCGTTTTTCTATTGACAATAATACAAGGCACACAATGGTCGCAATTAATTATTTTAGCACATCATACTTCATCATAAGAAGTATTAATTATGTGTTTTTGAGTCTACCTGAAAACGAGATGATCTTAATATAAATTGGGAAATAGAGGAGACTCTTCGAATCTAGATATTATGATATTACAAGAACATTTAATTTACTTTATAATATTTTGAGTCACTTCAAGTTGTCTTAATAATTGAGCTCTCGATTTATGAAGTTATGCATTAGTTGAAATTTTCAATGTACATTGTTTGCTGAATAAATAGAGAACAGCCTTCCATATCTCCAGAAATTAAAAGGTAATATAGACGAATCGGTCACTTGTTATCAAATCAATGTTCCATCGAATAACTCTATATAACTCACTTACTCATGTATTTCAACAAGAACTTCTAATGTATTCTTATAGTTCGTATTTATTCTGCTTGGATTCATTATATAAATAGCAGTCAAAATATTTTAAACTCTATTCACTAATGATTAGGAGATCAGTATTAGAAAGTAATAAAATAATATGCCACAATATACGATCTCTTACATATTGGTAATTGACGTGATCAAGAAGTATTTTTTCGCTCCAAAATTATGACTAGAGTTGACGTTCTTCATGTGCATCGGTCGCTCTCTCCTCTTAGTTTAAGACATCTTTAATCTCATGTAATTAAAATTATTCGCTACAAGTTTTGATGATATTCAACAGACAATTCTTAGCATTTGTAAGCTTTTTAGTATGTTAAATATTTATATACGACTGAATTGTATTATCAATGCCTGTCTCATATCAGATCTGAAATAAAATACTTCATGACGATCTCTGAATGATATGAATATTTACTATCTCAAGTTAGCACAAGAGAAGATGCACATGGTTATAATTGCATTTATAAGGATAACGATTGAAAAGAAAACTATTTAGAATAAAGTCTATCATTGTCTTTGACCTATCATAGACACATTTTCTATTCAGTATAATTCTGCAGAAGATATGCGTAAGATAAAGAAGAGTTCATCGTAGAACTCGTGGTTATTCCTTGTGAATCTTCTTTTTTGTGTCTCAATGAGCATATAAAAGATATAATAATGTTGAAGTAAAAAAGCTTCCAAGATAACTTAAAACTTCACTTATATCATTGTTTGGCAGTCAAAATATTAAGAAAGAAAAGATTAAATTCTATTTGATCAGATAAAAATAAAACATAACAATCTATCTTTGTTGCATCATCGAAATAATTTTACTGGGTTCTCTTTGTTGAATTTGTATTTTATTCTTTTCTATTCGTGTTCCTGTTCAGATCAAAATGACAGCAACTATTATACGACATTTCTTCATACGAAAAAAAGCCAGTATATTCATTATCTATTAAAATCGGTTAACGAGTAAATCAAAATATCATATTTCATTACTTCAATAAACCCATCTAATCTTTCTTTTATACTTCATATTTCTAAAAAAAATTTATATTGTTAAACTTTTTCAACTTATCTAAGCGAAAGACTTTATCTTCCATTTTTTTGCATTGTCTTCATATAACATTCAAAAATAGTTGATAACAGAAAATAACATTTTACAGTGAGATTTTAAAAAAAAAGTATTCTTTGAAATTTCTCTCATATCCCTTGAAAATAAAAAGGAAAAAAAATATTAAATTGATATTACATCACAAGTTGTTCTTTCCATCCTTGAAAAGATTAAAGAAGAGGAAAAAAAAATCTACGCATTTTTTTTTGTTTTGCATTTATAGAATGTTGAGTTTAGAAAAAAAAATACTTTCATTATATATAAATATTTACAAAAGCATATTTTCAAATATGTTAATATAATAAATTGAAAAGAAAAAAAAAATCTTTTAAGTAATTTCTTATAATCATATATCAACTATTCAAAATACTAAAGAATGTTTTGTTATCATCTCTCAGAACTGCTAAATGATTGTTAAGAAACAAATTATGAATATATCTACAATTCTCTAATATTCTACTCGATAAAATACTTAGGGTTATCCAAAAGTAGTGGCGGATATCCTTTTTTTTTTTATAGAAAGCTTGAAAAAATTTTCTTTTTTATGAATAGATAGAGCGTTTTTCGCTCGATCTTTCTATGCTATTTGATCACTATTAAACTAATATCATAATAATAAAATTTTGATAAGAACTATTTTTGTTGAAAACCAGCTGGTAGCATTGAGATGATAATGACTGTGGCATAAAAAAATGGGATACTTTTGCATTTCATTTTATTATCACTCAATACGTTGTATTAAAAAAAACAAAATATATCAGAAGATGCAACGTGAAAGGCTCTACCATTTATAAAGTACCGCTTATTTTATAGTTGTACTTTTTTTTTTAAAAATGAACAAAACTCTGAGTTACCAAGTTTCGACGTGATGAAAACGAGACTTTTTTTTGGTAAAAAAAAACGAATTCGGTTTTTTTTTCTGCTTTATCTTTGTATCATTGTTCTTTGTAAATTGTAGAGCTCTTCACGCTGCATCTTGCAGTGTGTTTTGCTTTTTAAAATAAAGCATATCAAGCAATAAAAAAATGAGACAGAAAAAACGGAATTCATCTTTTACCAAAAAAACAATCTCGTTTTCGCAACGTTGAAATTTGATAACTCAGAGTTTTGTCCATTTTTAAAACAAAAAGTACAACTATAAAATAAGCGACACTTTATAAATTGTAGAGCTTTTCTCGCTGCATCTTCTGGTATATTGTTTTTTTTTTCAATACAACATATTATGTGATAATAAAGTGAAATGCAAAAATACCACATCCATTATGATATTAGTTTAATAGTGATCAAATAGCATAGAAAGATAGAGCGAAAAACGCTCTATCTATTCATAAAAAAAGAAAATTTTTTCAAGCTTTTTATAAGAAAAAAAGAATCTTCGCCACTACCTTTGGATAATCCTAAGTATTATTTTTGAAGATTTCTTATACTCATTAAAATATTTTAAAAATAGCAATTCATTTGGAGAAGATTACCATTTTAGATGTTTTTATTGGTCAATAAGATCTAATGAATTAATATCGTCTTGATTCAATATAGATTTGACTTTATTCGAAAATTTTTCCTTGATAAAAATCAGTTTTATTCAGAATAATTCTTGATAGTTATTGATTAAAATAATTGATTCTCTGTCGGCTTTGATGAAATAAAAATAACTTCGCGCAGTCAGAAATCTATAGGATTGTTTGTTCCATTGAATAGCAAAGACATGAAAAATTCATATTGAAAAAAGAGAAACAAAGCACATATTATATATCGTTACTATCAAACTATTAATTTATTGACTATCCAAAAAAAAAAATAGATATTTGGAAATAAAATAACATTTACAAAACTTTTTTTTGGTATTTGTTTTTTTCTGTTCGTTAATATCTGATTAAACTTCACAATAAAAGAAATGTTAATACAAAAAATATCATATTGTCAGCAAAAGCTGACTACTAGAGAAGAGTTAAATATGAAATAGAATCTGATTGGTTTGAACAGAAAAGAATAAGCTATATACATACAAAAGTGTGTGTAACCTACCTAACCGTTTTATATACGATAGATAGATATTCTGCACTTCACTCGCATTGGTTCCTATCCATCGACCAATTGTCATCACAATAAACAATCTATAAACAGTAAATTGCTTTTTATTTCTGTAAGTTATGTACGTTGAAATCAGAGAACCATCGAACGAAAGAGGAGCACCGAGTTGCATTTATCTGGCTGCTATTCTCTCATTCATCAATCTGATCCCATTCTTTTACATTGTTGGACGACGTCCACCTCATTTAAACAAATCACCTCCTCCAGCACCGTTTGATGCTGACAATCAGCAAGTACAACGACCCCACACATGGTCACAGCTCTTCGCCGAGTGTGCGTATCAGCAACACCAAAATCAAAACAGTCAAATCGTATGTTTCAAAGTGTACGATACACTACCCGTCTGCTTCTTCATTTTAGCATTCGCTCTCGCCGTTACTCTTCTCATATTCAATTTGATAACAATAACTCGAGATCTGTCAAATTTTGAACGCGCGTTTCGTACAGTCGTTCATGCAGTGTACGCCGTAGATCTTTTTGCAACAGCACTTGTCTATTTCATCAATCGATATTGGTGTTACGACTGCAAAAAACTCGTTTTCATTTGTCTTATTCCAATCCTGACGACATTGTTTATGCCTTTTAATTGGTATCAATGCAATGGACAACATGTACAACTTCGAACAATATTGATGGATAATCAACGAGTTCATTTTCTTGCTCCTTCTTCTCATCATTTGACATCTAGTCCGCTAATTATAATTGACACTCAACCACCGTCGCCGCCACCTCTTTGTCATCCATCAGAAATTAATGCTGATCCTCAATTGGAAAACGAATACAACGAATGGTTGGAAGCCCATCGAGAAAACATCACGCAACGACAACAACAACAAATCTAGTCAACTTATAATTTCTGTTCATCAATAATAATTCTTTTCTCACTCAAGAAATCTCGACCAATAATTGGTTTCAAATTCGTTAGACTTGTGTACAATGATCTTGTACAAATTTTACATTTTTTTTTTCTTTATAACTGAATATAAAAAGATTCAAGTTTTGGTTATTCCTTTGTTAGAAGAAAACAATTTCAACCTCTTTTCATAAATGTTTCACCAATTTTTTGAAGATTATAGTAACGATTTTGAATCGTAATTATATTGAAAGTTTACAATCTTGATTGAATTCTGCTCTGAAGAGAAATTCAGTGTGATCAATAAAATGTTTCTATTTAAAACATTCTTAGTTATTTTTCAAATAATAAGATAATCTAAACAGAATAAATGTTAAAGTTCTCTTCGATCATTATACGACATGCAGAAAAATTTTCAACTTGACGACAATATTCACTTTTAGATATCGCTTTTCGAGAAAAATCTAATGAACGAATTTTAAAATATTCAAACAGAGATAATAGATCACGATTCGTTCGTTTCATTTTAGGTACTAGCCAACAGTGCGAGCCGAACGATTACCCTTGTAAACAAATGAGTAAATTGAAATGAAAATCTCGGAAAAGTGCAGTCTGCATTATTTCATTGGATGTCAATCTTTCGAATATTTATTTTCTCAGATTTTATTACAAATTGGACAATTCTAAAATTGTTTTCTGATAGTCTAACAAGTCAGATTCGAGGTTAATACATTGAGAATATCAGCTGTCGATGTCTTCCTTTTCTTTTTTGAACATGTCTTATATAGTAGAAAGGAATGCGATCAGGCATGAGAAAACATTGAGATAAAAGGTTAGTACGAGGTGAAGAGGTCATCATATATAGGGCAGATAGTATAGAGCAAGTAAAGCATAACAGATAATAATCATTACAAAAGTGCTTAATGAAATAGCTTTTGAAAAATAACAATTTTTTTTCTTATTTTTAATTTGTGATGGTTTATATATAAATAAAAGATAATTGTTATTGTCATTTCGTTTAACTCATTTGTGCAGATCAGATACATACATCTAAAACTCTCTGTTTTTCTCTCTCTCTTCTTACTCTTTCTTATCCAGTATCTATCAAATAATGTAAAGAAGAAGAACAATACATTTCTACGAAATGATAGTTATTAGAGTGTGTGTTTACATTCTGATCGTTTTTCATCATGCAGAAGGAAAAGGAGGTAAATTTTTAATGATTTTCATTTCTTCAGATTTTTGATAAGCGAAAAATGACATATTCTTGTCTAAAAAGAATTAGACATCATCATTAATCCGTTAAAAATATCGATCTAACTATTGGACATTTGAAATCTGTTTAAAAAAGAGATCTGAAAAGATAAAATGAATAATCATCATTTGACTGCCACGGAAGATTACCCTTAATGATATTAAATAGATATTCAATTCGAAATAAAATTCATTCAAGTGATAAGCATGCTTATTGATAATCATTGAATAGATCGATGAAATTCTAATTTTTTATGAGCGGATTGTCTTCAAAGAATTGATGAATTTAAAGATCCTTTAACTTTGGTCGATAAACTATCAAATATATCTTGTTGTGTGATAGTTACTATCTCAATTATTTTCTCTTTGATTTTTCAATTTTATTTTAATAGAATCAAAAAAAGAATACATACGAATGACATGCAATGAAATAATCAAACATAGCTAAGCTAGGGTGTGAACGTGGGTGTGGATATGAAGTGTGGGGTGTGGGGGTTGGTACTTTAATTATTCACACTCACACACACACACACCCCCACGCCCTACATACCCACATCGACACCCACACCCGACTAGAGAAAATACAATTAAGAAGAACTACAGAATAAATATCCTAAAACTATCTCCATGATAAATAATCCGAACTAGCATCCTTTGACGAATAAATATAAGTATTACAAAGCTCATTCATATGGGAACCAGTATAGATAATCACCTGTCTTGTTTATTGATTCCTCATGAAAGCAGAGCTTCCTCCACTTCTTTCAATACCTTTCTACTTTGACAAAGTATGTTGTACTGAAGAAGCTTTATTTATGTACAAAAAGAAAAAAACAAAATTCGAAAGCTATGAAGGGCGAAAAAGCAAAATGGAAGAAGGAATTATCATGGCAAAGTCCCATTTCCTATACATTGGTACCAATCGGGATCGATGTCACATGTATCTTGAGGCAGATTGATAATGCGAATCATATCGGCATCGCTGATCGTAAATGGATTTGAAAGAATCTCAAGATTTTCTATCATGTGAGTTTCGTTCATCGAGCGCGGATTGAACGCAACACCCAGCTGATAAATCCAACGCAATAAAATCTGTGCTGGAGTCCGCTTATAGCTGTTGGCTAATGAAGTAATGGTTGGATCTTCGAGCAATGTACGAGACAAGCTAGTTATTCTTTTATTTTGATCTTTGACAGGAAATTGGTGTGCGTCGAGCGCACCGAACGGTGAATAGGCCACTAATTGAATACGATTTTTCTGACAAAATGCAAGTAAGTCTGCTCGTCCAGTTCGACAATTGTACGGATGAAAGGAAACTTGATTGACACTTGGTAATGGCATTCCAGCATCAATGATTTCTTGCAAATGTGTAATATTATAGTTTGATACACCAATGGAACGAACTAGCCCAAGGTCGAATAATGCAAGCATGGCGGACCAAGTTGATAAACGACATTGCTTTTCATTGTATGTCAATGGGTTAGTGGTATTACATGCTGGATCAGTACTCTTTGGTACATACGACTGACCTGGATGTTGCATAATTGGCCAATGTACGAGCAATAAATCAATCCAAGTCGTCTGCAGTTCTTGTAGGATATCCAGTGTTTGCTGTATTGTTTCATTAAATCCCAAAGGAAATGTTGGACTGACTTTGCTCAAAATGAAAATTTGAGATCGATCGATACCACTTTGCTCAATGCCACGAGCAACGGATCGTTGATTATAGTACGAATTGGCACAATCAAGTCGAAGTCCACCTGCTTTACTCAACCATGTATACACTGCTTTTTGTGTATTAGGACCACAACCAGGTGGCGGAGGAACTGGAGGATCACCACGTGGCTCACTGCCACATTCGGGATATGTGCCATAGGGCTCATTGTTTATACCATAGAAACCTGTGCCGAGACCAAGAACTGGTAGACAAAGACCACTCTCAGCAGAATTAAATAGAGAAAATGAAGAGACATCATTAAATAGAGATTTCAGATGCTGAGAGTTACGAACCGTTTTAATATTTGCTAGTGAAAGCGTTAAAACATAGACCAAAAAGAGAAATAACAGTGGTAGTTTCATGACAATTTGAGAGCACAACTGAAGACGAAGAAAAAGATGCAAGACAAGAACAGCAAGAGAAGTTTTATTCTTGCATATAAACACATCTTACCTTATGCTGACTATTACGTCTATCACTTTATAGCATACACATTCGTTGATAACTTTTATCAACAACGGTCTCCAAATCATCTTATAACCGAACGGCATTTTTACAAAAGTAGCTTTTTATGGAAAGCATTATGTTATAATCAGATTAATGATTCTTGACGTATTTATTATTGGAGATGTTAAAATGGAAATAATTTCCTCTTTTTCTTTTTAAATGTCATATTATCCATCGTTATTTTTTCTAGACTAGAATGATTTATTATGCTAGATCGTACTGAATGAAATGCAAACAAACTTTTCTAAACAAGAACAACATGGAAATTCTTGTCATTTTTCTAACATGTCAAATAAGTCTCCTATAAACATGTTCACACAGTATGACAACATACTGGGTGATCCAAAAGTCTTGGTACCTCTCAGAAAAATTGTTCGTTCTCCCTTA